AATACAATCCTTAGGAAGCCCGTTCCGCTGGAAAATTCATAATAAATATTTTTGCCCGAATATGAAAGCAGCCTGAGCAAAAGGCTTTAGCAAGTCATATGGCCAGACGACGTGAGATAAGCCGGCCATGGCAGATGAAAAGCCTTGATTTTATGAGACGGTATCCCAGAACCGAAAAGGGCCTACTCTTATATCCTTGCAGTATGCGATTAATTCAGCAAGTTTGTTGCTCTCTGTCCATTACGGAGCGCTACTTCAAGCTCCCTGTGTCGTTTCGTGGAAGAACAAATATTTCTGGTGTATGAATTGCCTCAGTTCCTCATTTGTGACAGTGGCAAACAGATGAGAAGCAAAGAATTTAAAGCCCTGTGTTCCCGATATCATATTACCACGCGCAGGCGGATCCTGTTGATCGGTACAATATCGGTACATCTATTTGGGAGAGAATCAATTGGATAGGCTATAAAAACGTCTCGAAGTGAAACTACAGGTTATATCCCATACTTTGTCAATTTTGGACGAGAATATGTCGGAGATGGTACCGAGTATCGTTATACGTTTAACAAGTTAAGTACAGACCGAGATGAAAGCACGCATAATAAGTTATAGAGAATTTTGAGGATATCAAAGCCCGTATAGCTAGAATGACGGACCAATCCCGTAAAATATACGATCAGATCGGAGACCAGGTTTGGCGAAAAATAAAATTCTCTCCAACGAGTCGAAAAACCTTAACGCAAAATTTTGTTCGAAATTTTTAGGGCCTTTCAGTGTTAAGTGTAGAATAGGAGGTTGGACGTATCAGTTGCTGGATAGTTTTTGTTGAACAACTGGTTTGGATTTACAATCTATTCTTCAGACAGTTGTTTTCGTGGGTTACTTACTTATTAATAAGCACTGAAGTTTATGAATTTTCTGTTTTTAAATTTTTCAGTTGCTGTTTGAAGGCTGTACATCGATGCCTCACCAGTCTGTTATTCTTTTGACAGATTTGGTAAACCTTTTCTGTATACTAAATCATAGTGAAAGTGTTGGAAAGTTATCACCAACAAGGTAGGGCTCCTGCGGGATTTCACCTTTTCTTTTCCCGATTAGTGTCTTTGGTCTTGTTATGCCAGGTTGATCTTGGGCGGCCGGGTGCGTCGGGTTTCAATTGGTGGTGGAGACGTGATCCTGTGGGCTGTTGTGCAATTTTAGCCTGCTAGATCGACTTAACATCACGGTATATAGATTACCGACGGTCGCATGTTACCACTCTAGTCTGAAGAACTTCCTTTCTGCTTCTGGTGGAATCGTCGTTTTAATTTTTCGGCTTTTTTTATACGGCTCTCTGGCCTAATGGGTATCGCGCGGTTTCACTGCTGCTTTTCGCAAGTATATGTGTTGTTGTGTGCATTTCCCGTGGAGCTTAGTATTAGGGGGCTCGAGATTGGCCCGAATGGTAGCTTGGGCGAGCCAATCAATTTATGGGAGGTCTCGACTACTGGTATTTAAGTGGCCCGCCTTAGGTGTGCGACAGTAGTGGGTTAGGGATTAACCTGTCAAAATTTAATTGGTATTAGTGGATGCACAGGCTCCACTAGGTAGTGTCGAGCGCCACAATAGTGGGCGCGATACTGCTGTTTCAATAGTTTGTAAGTTCTTGGGGTTTTCTTTTTTCCTTTTTTTTTCCTCGGGCTTCGCCGGCGAGTTTTCGAGCGACGTTGCTGCTCTTTTACTAGTATTTTAATTTTTTGGGCGTTATCGGCAAGTTGTTGTACGCTATTTTGCAGTTCTGGTGGAAGTCCATCTGTCGATCGGTGTTCACCTCTGACGGAGGAAGGGTGGAGTGTGACGGTTTCATATTTCAATGGTAAAATTTAGCATTTTTATAGTAAAAGTACTTGCCCATTTGCGAAGTAATGGGTTTATTTTGTTTGGATCTAGTAATAATTTTCTTATCATAATATTAATCTTATAAGTACCTTATAGAATTAATGGTGCTGCCCATTTCCTTCACTTTTTGCTATTTGGCGAAGGTCTCTTAAGATTCAAAATTCTTGTTTATTAGCTTTATATCGATTTTGCAATTTTAACACACGTTCTTTTGTAGACTCGGTTTCCTTAGTTTCGGACTTGTACTCCCCGACCGATTGTGTTGCCGAACCATAAATATTTTACGCTGCAACGGTTGTGTGCGTGGCCCCTTGTTCGCTTGGTTTTCTTTTAGGTGACAAAGGTTTACTAAGAGATACTAATGCAAAAACAGAGTATTAGTTGCGCATTAGAGGGAGTCGTAACCATTACCATCCGTCACACTATGAGACTGGGGACCACATTTGCTTTTATTGCTTGGGTCATCCTCATAAAATATTTTTTTTTTGTTTTCTGGGACTGGCCGTCCGGTCGAAACCATAGATAACGTTCGGGTAGTTCGATCTCGTTGACGCAACCTCGATTCCTTGGCACGGGCCATACGGGCACCACCACCGAGAGAGTTCGGTTGTTTGATCTATTGGTGGCGTACCGTCGACTAGGTTGGCAAGAGTGGCGTGTTCCCTCTAATTTTTTGTGCCTTTTTAGCCTTTTTAATAAAACTGGTTGTCATCCGGCAATTTGTACGCTCACTAGTGAAGCTTGGGACTGTGCCAGGTTTTCTTTTGTGTGACCGATTTCTTTTTTGAGCCGCTAGATCTACCTCAATAAGATGGGGATATGTAAACTGGTCACTAATTTGTGATTTCCCATACTTTTGGATCTATTTGGAGTTTGGAATAGAAATCTTTCTCAACGAGGGATTTTGAAAAAGAATTGTCATTGCCCCACGAATCGAGGGTTTTTTCCTCTTCCTCTTGTTCCGTTTTCCTGCTAACCTTCCATGTGGTTTCTTCTTTCATCGGAATACCGGAGAGCTTCGCTAGAGTTGGTGTCCTGCAGTGTATGCTGTCTCATGCGTACGTGTTTGGTTGACGAGTTTCTCCTATTGAGTAGCCGGCTTTCCTAACGGACATTGCAGGGTTATCTGGGACTGCCCACGTGCTGGTGTTCATTGAGCCACCATTCGATCTTGTCGCTTGGTTATCGGGATAATAACAGACAGCTGTGTAACGTTCGGGAGAGCTTGAGATTTGGATAGCTTAAGTGGCCTGTTATCTTCAAGAACTGTTTGCCCAAATTATATTCTTAAATTATAATACTTTACATTCTTTTGCACCGCCAAAACTTGAAGGTGAGATTTGACATACTCACACCTACCACGAGGTAGAGATTTATATACCTTTTTGCTTCATTTACACTTTTTACTGTTAACCTTGTTCAGGAATTTGGAGGATATAAATTATTGTTCGCGATTTATTTGTTGATTTAATTTTCGGATTTTAACCTCGTGTTAATAAGTTTACTTTTTTTGAAATACGTGGCGGCTACCTATCCCCTTCCGGGACTGACCAAAGTGGCCTTAACCGCCTTCCAACTTGGGCTTCCATTTAGTATTTTTTTTTTTACTTTATTAAATTTTCTTGTTTATTAGTGAGCTAGCCTGGACAGTGTCTTTCCTCAGTAATAAGTTTCAAAATTTATTAATTAATGATTTTCTTTTTCACGATCCTGAGATTGAGAGGTACGAATTTGTTTGTCAACCCACTCCATAGTAAAATTTCGTAACTTAAATGCGATGCGATTAAATTAAAATTAAATGCGATTAACCCTAAAAATTTTGTAAAACATCTGAAAGTCATCTAAGTTTATTTGTGATATATTTGGAGTGGTGGTTCCATTTCAAATAACTATCAACAATTACTCCAAAGATTTGATGCCAAAGCTTCTCTAGTTTACTTGAAATAATAATAGTACTAATAATGGTAACGGTAACGAAAACACAGAAAGGTGAGACACTTTTATCTAAGGAATCGTATACTTTTGACTTTTGAAAAGTCCGCCACTGCGTGCACGGTCGAACATGCCTGCCTGAAACCATATTATTGTTCTGATAAAATATTATTTAATTCGAGATGCGAGAAAATTTATTTTTAGAATTTTTTCAGAAATCTTAATAAATAAATCACAAATCAGTGAAATTGGTCTATATATGGTAACATTGAGTTTTTTACCTGATTTAAACAAGTGTTTAACTTTTTAATAAATTTGTTTATTAAGCGAGTGAGAGGTTCTTTGATACATTCAGAAATTTCTTTTAGAATTTCTGATGTTAGACCATCTAACCGCGGCGTTATAGTTATGGTTTCTTCAAATTTAAACTCTCTGTCCGTTTTTATGTTTTCAGCCGAGTCTTTACAGATATTACAAAAAATTCAATAAGATACTGTGGCAAGTTTTTAATTTTTTTTATAGTAATCGTATTTAATTTATGATAGTTGTTTGTGGAATTAATGCTTCTGTTTAGTTTTTGTTCTTGATAGTTTATTTTAGTTTCTTTTGACAAACCGATTAATTTATTTCGCTATAGTTTAAAATCCGCCATTAAAAATGTTGATTGCCGATTATTCTCCATTTTTTTGGAAAGTAAAGCATTATTGTGTTTGAATATTTTCACATCATATCAAAAGATGTGTCTAACTGTAATATATGTGCATCATGATCTGAAATAGTGGAATGATCACATGGCGTTCATGGACATTTAAAAAAAATATGGTCGATGTAAATCTCTCTATTAGCAGATTTTCTAGTAGTAGCATTTATTGCTGAAAGAAATCCCCACTTTTTCCGATTATGTGAATTTTAGTTACTATCATTTGCTGCTAAAATAAGTCTAAACTTACATCACCCGCGAAAATGTTAAAAATATACATAAAATAAATTTTGATAGAAATCTTGTTTTTTGTTTTCTATATAAATAACCTGGTATTTGAAAAATTAACTTTTCTCCAAGTATAGTTTGGACTGCTAAAAATAAATAACTACTCCATCATTTTAATTAATTGATTGATTACCTTTACCTGTACCTATATGTTCATAGCAAGTTTGGTACCAAGTTTTCTAAAAACACTCTCTTCGTCCATTAGACGTACTCTGAAGATCACACAAAAGGATCCCGAAACGAATTGTATTTTGGGTTTTGCTTACCGTCCTCGTGTTCGTACGAAGATCTTCAAACTGTTCTGGAATCGAGTGCGCTGATATACAACTCAAAAAACGATTTTCGATTGGTAGTCGATGTGAACCACAGAAGCTGTCAGATAAACAGACCAGTGGAATTGAGAAGAGGAGATGTCGCATTTATGTGAGTCGTGCCTCTATTTTTGATTTTCCTGTTTTTAATTCATAACAGTTTAATACGTTCTCGGACTCATTGGAAAAGTAACACAAGTGTCACTTTTTAATTTCCTTTGAAAAGTAAGCTGTAAGTAAACTAACCAAAACTATAATGGAAATTCTAAACGCATAGGCCCAAAATATGAAAAATAAGATTCTTATACCATGGTATTCTTTTTGATTGTATTGATTGTATTGTGAAGAATGGTAATGGTACTGAATCATTTGATCACAATGGGTGTCCCACGGCATGACTGCTGGGGTGATTTCAAGTTAAACACATCAAATAAACATATACGCGGAACGCTAAACTAACTGAGCTACAAGCATTTGAAATTTGAAAGACCTTTTAAAACGAAACCGCTTTATTAAATTAGTTGCTCCAGCATTAAGATCGGCTGTTAATATTAAATTAATAAAAGTCCACGTGCCTGTCAATCTTATGTATTGTGACAGTAAACGTCACGTGTTTATTTTCGTGTGTTACATTAAAAGACTATAAGTCGGTGTCCTATTTGGACTCGCCTCTCAAAAGATTTCTTTCGAGGAATTTAATATATGTTTTGACGCAAGGTGCGTGTTTATGATTAACACGAATTAAACCGATTTGTTTAACGTCTTAACTTTGTACCGTCGTCTCGTTGAAGCTGAATATAGTTCGTGTTGTGTTAAACGGCTATCATTTAATAATAAACCAGCCCTATACGAATACAGTCCACACCCTCAACAAACACCCTGTTAGATGGTGGCGAAGCAAAGGGAAAAGTTTCTGCCCCATAAAGGATCTGTAGGATAATATTATTTAGTGATGAAGTGTCATTCATCCGAAATGGTACCAATCAGGAATTCACATTGTTGGGCATTTGACTCGGGAATCCCATTTTCAAATAGATTTTCGGGGAAGACTGGTATTATATTTGAAGATGATTTGAAGATGTAAGACAACGAACGGTCGACAAGTAACAGAATTTCCTAACAATTAACCATATTTGCAAATTTTTTCTCCGACTTCATCTGAAAGGGTCTTGCCCTATTAAATTTTAAATTTGGATACATAACCATTCAAAGTTGTTACCCCAAAAAAAATTATCCCATAGGTGCTCTTTTATTTATTTGTTTACAAACACGCCAAGTATAACAGAACCTAATTATTGCGTTAGCTTCCACAGCACACATAAAATAAAATAAAACTAGGTTACTTGCAAATACCATAGCAATTACAGCGTGCCTTGTAAAATTTATAGCAGTTATCAAATAAGTATATTAAAAATATCAAATGGATTCCTATTTCCAGGAGCTAGTCTATGTTATGTTTATTGATGCATTACTAAAATTGTTAGTTTGGGGTTTATTTTAGTAAAACATACACGGAACATTAAAAGACATATGCTACATACAGCTGCTTAAACGATAATTGTGAATCAAAAATTACTGCAAGGCCTAGCAAATTGACAAATTGTTTTTCCAACTGAACTTGAAATACAGCACTTAGAAATATTAAATTTCAAATTATTTCTGTTAGACCATTCCAGAATTTTATTCAATTTTTTTTGAAGCATTATATAGTTATTTTTGTCCTTGACTAGATGATATAATTTCAAGTCATCCGTAAACAATAATTTTGATATCATTAATCACTTCTAGAGAATTATTAATAAACAGGGTGAACAGTAGTGAACCACATATAAATGATTCGGAAGCATAGCCCCGGAAGAATAATGTTTACTTGCTCTAATGCAGATATGATTGAAAAAACATAACTAATTTGGGGTGAAATCCAAATTCATTAAATAATTTTTTTAATAACGATGTGTGCGAAATTTTATCAAAAGCTTTTGCAAGGTCGGTGTATATTACATAAACTTGTGCTTTATTATCTACGCTTTCTGCAATATATAGAGTTAAATTACACAACAGAGACAGTTGACCTATATCTTTTGTGACACCGGGTTTTATACTTTTTTATAAATAATACATTCAAACATTTTCGAGAACACAGACAATATAGTGACTGGTCTATAGTTTTTTATGTCCGATTTATCTCCCTTTTTAAAAACTGCACACAAATTTACTTCCTTTCTATTGTATATGATGACAAATCATCAGTTTGTATAGACCTATTTATTTAAGACTTTAACAGCCTCAGTAGTAGTTGCGTAGTTACAGTAGTAGTAAGTTAGAACATACTAACCCCAATAAAGAACAATCTCATTTCCTGTTACTATATTGCCTTTGATCCAGATATATTTTATTTGGTATTGAAACCTTCCCCCACTTGCTTTTCATATGCTGCCAGACTCATCTATAATCTCTACCAAATATAAAAGGTCTGGAAAGTCTACCAAATATAAAAGGTCTTTCCAGACCTTTTATATTTCATTTTTAAGTTATTCTTACCCTGTATATTCTTTTTTCCTATTGCTTCTTGGAACACATCTATTAAATATTTCATATATTTTGCCACTACAGCAAGTAACTGCAGTATCGATATGGTCAAATGATTCCAGATCTTTTCAGCAGATGCCTTGAAATAGCTGATATATCATATGATAATTTGCTTTCCGGAAATTATAATTTCTTAAGTTTTCAAGAACAGAGAGTTCAACGTCAAGAGATGGACGATGAAGATCTTTATAAACAAAACTATTTGTATTTGCGGTGACTTGACATTGTAAAGGAGTAATTACACAAGAACTAAACATTCCAAGGGAGCGAAAAGTCTTTCCCTAGCTATCATTGTGCAACAATCGTTTTCAAAAATAATTGTTTTTCTCTTTCAGAATAAGGCATTTTATAATAAAAAGAACACTAGTTTTGCTAAATCTGTAACTGGTAACCGTCACCGTGTTTTTTGGTGACGACCTACTTCATAGCCACATAGATATAAAGATATAAAGATATAAATTATAATCCTAATCCTATTTTATTTTTGAATGTTGCTTTTATGTTAAATACGCATAGACCTCAAAAACTATTCGTCTTTGGTGAGCTCTATTTCTATTCCTATATACTGAAAAGCAAAAGAAAGATTTTCTTATCAAACACTCCTGGGGGCGACCAGGTTTTCGTCAAGGCGACCTCATCATAATCATGCTCTGTGAGACACACTGCGTTACAAAACCCGTCTATTATAGCGTTTAGCACTAACATTTTGATAATTGATGTAAAATACTTCACCCGTTGCTGACTCCTCAGACAAAGTCCATAAAAGTAGTTATTTGTACTTAAACACTGTCTCTTTTCTACCCGCAACGGATTCCTTCATAAGGCAAAATTGATATCACTATAATCTATGCATTCTCGGAGCCTTTCCACTCTTTGTAGGTACGTTGCTGTGTGCCGGCTTTTACAATTTGGACAATCCAGATCAGCTGTTTCCGACAGCTCCGCACTTAAAACAACATTCCTTACTATTGCAATGCTTTGCAACATGTCCGTATGTTAACATTTGAAGAGTACAGGGGAAAAAAGGTGAGGGTTCATTTTTTTCCCAAATAAGACTAACATTTATTTCGTATAATATATAGGCGATAGAATACTATCTACCTATAAGAAATGGCTAGAAAGATGACAGTACAAAGATAAACAGAAAGGTACCAGAGGTTGTGCACAAAAAAGATGACAATCGATAGGAAATGGCAACGTCGTGCTATTTCGCCGGCTTATGATCGTAGACAACGCATTTAGTTCAGTCCCTAGTTACCGACTTGCAAAATGTACTCTATGTACAAAGAATATATCGAGATAAATTAGTTTCTTATGAAAAATAGAGAGAAATATTCAACAGCAAGTTTAATATTGCTTTTGCGTGCCCACGATGAGATGCGATAGTAGATGCCATAAGTTGAAAGTAAAAATTGACGAGATTGAAAAAAAAAAATTGCAGTGCAGATAATCACAATGCACTGCAGTTACATACAGAACTGCGAAGTTTGCAAGTTAAAAAGTAAATTTAAAAAGAGCAGACACCTTTTATAAACGTAAAAAAGCTGCTAGGCTTGAGGCTCAAAAAGACAAAACCAAGGAAGCTGTTGTAATGGATTTTCAAAAAAATCTTCATCTGCCGAATATTACAACTAATGACACGTATTATCGCGGAAAACTTTCGTTTTTTCGTTCTACACGTTCAACATACATGTCCTCTTTTCTATACTTATACTGAAGTTTCAGGAAAAAAGGGTGCTGATGATGTTTCTTCACTGCTATGGGATTACCTTGATCCCGAACAAAACCAAGCCCTTTTAATGTTATTTATTGTGAAGATTAGTCCATTTTTAAGAGTTGGGCCAAATTTATAGCGGATATCTATATGCCCAAGTGTCCTTCTCCTTCAAGACCTGTCAAAGAATTAACTGATACATTAACAAGATACATAGGGAAAGTTATATTGGTCGAGAACTTGAAAATGTTGTCATAAAACATAAGAATTGAAAAGTGTTTTTTGCTTCCAACTTTAGCTTATGATGGGCCATGTATGATGGGTATGTAGAGCTAAATTTCAAGACCTACAACCTCTAAAAAGATTCTGTTCTCAAAAAGAGCAGTTTTTTTATAGCAATACCACATTGATGAGATTACAATAATAGATTATGGACTTTCATCTTTATTCTTATTCTTAAGTTTCTTTTTTATACTTTGCATTAGAAATTTATGTATTTTTTGTTTATTCTGTCAAAAAGTATTTTAGTTCAAGTTAACAATAATAATATTCCAAAATCGTATTTTTGTTTAACATGTTCTAGAGTAGTCTTCCTAAATAAAAGTGACAATTACTCGGAGCACCATCATTTTTTTCCCTGTACTCTTCGTTTGTATATTCCTGGATGTAGATCTAGATCAAACGTTAGAGAATCACACCTCATAAGCCATGGTGCATGTAATACACAATTTTCTGTTTTTATGACGATTGTTTATTAAAGGAAGAATTCCTCATCACTATTGCCATTGTCATTTCTCAGATGAGCGAAAACATTTTAACGGCTGATACTGTACTCGCCATGAACGTGTTAAGTTGTCTTAGCGCAAGGCATTATTTAGTACACCTCCCTGGCGTTCTATATATATGAGAAACTGTGTAAATTGACATGTTATACTAAATACCCATCTTGTAGCTTTTTCCTAACGCTTTCCGTTGCAACGGTTATTTGCTCCAGCGTGTACGACATTTTGGTTAAAAGGAAACCTTTCCAGAGCTACAAGCTAAGCGGTAAATCAAATTTAATAAGTTTCTTCTTCAACACGAACGCTATAACGACTTTTGTAGGAATTTTTCACGAAGTAACTTTATGTTTCTCGTTTCCGAGAAACTACGAGAAGCTGACTTCGGAAGGCCGTAATAGCAACGGCTTAGATTGCTTGTCCGGCATGAAAGTTTACTCCATGCTGCTGATTATAGTGCTACACAGAATTATGTTCGAGTTCGGCTCCCCCATGGTCAACCCCAAATACGTCGAAAAGGTAAACTCAGCACAGTATTCGGCTATTGTTTTAAGTTGCAGCTTGTCTTGTAAATTTGCAGCTTTACACAAAATTTGAAACTACGCTTCTTCTAAATGGTCCTATTTTGGTAGAGACGTTTTTTACCATATCGGGATTCCTGGCAACGTATTTAATGTTGGGCCAATTTAGAAAAAGCAAAAGAGTGAACCTTGGATTGTTCTACGTCCACAGGATCGTAAGGTAGTACCAGTATGTAACACTAAGCGGATTTTTAATTTTTGTTGCCTCTTTAACTACAATAATTAAGATTTTGGAAAGTCATACAAAAAACTGAAGAATCATATAAGTGAACACGTCCAGTACTTTGCTTTAAAGCAAAGTGTTTATTATAAAAGGGACTAAGGTCAGGCGCGCATGCGACGCAGCCATAGATAAAAGATGCAAACAGATGGAAAATATAATTGAAACAAATTGGTAGTTTGTAATTAGGTATTTTACAGAAGCAATCATCATCATGTTGGCTTCTTCAGAGCTTAACTGAAACTGGAGTTCAGTTGACCGATACTTTAATGCATTGTCACATCACCATCTATCCCAAAAATCATCGGTTATCAACTTTCTTTTCTTCTGTCTAATGATTTTCACATTCCACAACTTTTCAAAGAAAATGAATCCGAAAGCAACCTCACCCTTGCCATTGTTGTCCTTTCTTACATTTAAAGCCTTAAGTTTTAAGACAACGGCAAATTAATTCATAAGCACTTGCCAAACATAATCATGAAATCGGACATTAAATTTAATTTGGCATATCTAAAATTCTGGAATGTAATCATTTTTTCTACCAAAGAAAAATCAGAGAATCTATGAAAATCTATTGTTTTGGGTTTATTTTTTGAAACGTAATCTTTCCGCTCTAATTTCCTTAGTTTCAAATAATGCAAACCAGTATTTAACATCTTAGTATATTTATTAATTAAAATTATTATGCTGTGCCAAGAAATGCACAACTGATGGCAACTTTTAAAATAGAACAAAATGAATATTACGACAATTTATTCATTAACTATCACTGGTTTATTGTATCATAATCAACAATACTCGTTTCCCCCACGAATGTTACTCTAACTTGGTCACTAATTATTTCTAATTTTAAATCCTAAGGATCTCCTGCCCATGTCCATCTATTTTCTTCGATCTATATAGGTAGGCTTCCAATTTCTTTGAGTGATAGTATTTTCGGGATTCTAGTCACACAATCGCAATATAAAGTAGTTTGGTGGATGCATTCTAGAATTTGTTAAATCTTTTTCGGGCTGGAGTTGTGTCTTACTTAAGGGAGCGTTTGCAAAGTTTGCTTTTCTACTCCCGTTTGTAAAATACCTAATTACTCACCGATCTAGCGTGCGGGAAGCGTCATTTCACCACGTTACTTTCGTTTCCCATGAATCCGAGCCACTTCGGACATTTCCGGGATTTTACCGCACGGAATTGGGAGCAATCGGATGTTTTCGGATATATTTCCCATGCTCTGAATTTTGACGTTTGTCAATTCTGACGATCATGTCAGTGAATGTATTCGTGTTGTTTTGCGAAAATGTATCCAGAAACTAACGGTCGTAGAAAAAGTACTCGTTTATTAAAAACTCGCTCAGCTGCGCTCTGTTCACGTCAAATAAACTCGTGAGTTAAACGCCGTTTACCGCAATTGTTGCATAATATACTATTTCCCGCTGGACTTCCACATTCCCGTCTTTACCTGTAAAAATACCATGTTCAAACCATTGTTCAACATTTGGAAGAATTTAACAATATACCTGAGTTTACTCCGCTCTTATTCGCATCCCAATTTTGTTCTTAACAACAGCAGGGATATGAATTAACTAAATGAATTAAACGGGGACAAATACCAGTAGCCGCCTCTTTTTCTTTTTTGCGAACATGATAAAGAGCAAAGAATCGTTAAACCGTACGTTCCTTATCTATTCAGTGTTACCAATTTTATTACCAAATCCTCGAAACATTTTTTCTGGGCAGAGTTTCACATCTTTAGATTTTCTTGGATTTTGGTTATTTATCGAGGTAGGGATGCTCATTGTTGAGTATCGACGAGAAAAGTTGAACGGAGCACATGGGGTTTTAAAATTAAATTTTGTTGTGTTCGGGATTTCCTCCACAAAGTATAAATCGGAAACTAAAAATCTTTGGTTTACTTTTTGTATTTATCGATATTTCCTCAGTAATGGATTTTTGATTCTTTGATCTACCAACGCCATTGTTCGTGAACTCTCGAGTTACTAGTTGAGATAAGCGGCAAATCTGCTTTTCTCATAGTTTCTAAGTAGGGTATTCTAAATTTTTGTAGGCTTTTTTCCTTTGTTTGGTCGTACGAGACGTCTATGAGGTTTCGTTGAACAGTATCAAGAGGTACCATTTCGACGACTTCCGCTTCGAGATATTTTGCTACCCGTATGTGGAAGCTGTTTGACAATTAGCCGATTAACCTTTTTTTTACGTGAATAATTATTTTATTCCTTTTGTCTTTCGAACTGGGATGTTGTGAAGAAAAAACATAATGCATTTCGCTGATTTTCGCTATACCTTTCTGCTGTATCGAAGGTATTAAATTTCTGTAGTTGAATTGGTTTTTTGGTCAGCTCATCGAATCAATTTGTTGTTTTTTTTTCAAATTTTTATCAAACTAAAGAGAGCTAACATACACTCGGTTCTTAAAAGAATCTTTTTCGATGCAAAATTTGGTGGCGCCCTATTCTCCAAACATTTGTTTTTTTATATAGACAACTAAGAGTCAGGGCTATCAGTGTTGGTAAATTTGTTAATAACTAGTCTTAATACAATATGGAAATCAGTCATTCGAGATAACGATCATGCCCCTCATTTAGCTCGGCCCGTCTCAAACAATATACAAGCAGGTACAGAGTAGAATCCGATAAAGTTTCAGTTAAGCTCTGAAGAAACCAACAGAATGATTGGCGAATCTTCAGCTAGTCCGATTCTGTGGAGCTAGCCAGTTTCAACTAAACTCTTCAGATATCAAGAGTATGATTGGCGATACGTTAGCAAATTTAATTTATGAACAGCCAATGTCCGAGTAATCCAGAAGATTTGTAAATAATGTGTCTGGGGATATTAAAGTTTACCTTGTCCATAATATAGAGAAAACAACGTTTTTTAACATTTGCAAAACAGTCAAAAAACAGCTACTTGCACTTTTGGCTATAGGCCAACCATCAACATTAGTAGCAAATTCTGTTTAATTCAATTAAATAATTAATAGTTTTCAATACCAAAATAACAAAAATATCGAGTTAAATTTATATCAAATAAACTTTTAGACGGTCTTAATACAATCCTATCATCGGACGGAATCCTAGCATCGCGAATATTTTTACAAAGTACATTTTCAAGCAAATCATTTAGAGCGAAATGTGGAATTTGGATTTAAAGTGGCCACTTTATTAAATCTAAATGAACTTGCTCGTAAGTCAAGTCTAGGTGGTCAATGCCTTTCTTTATAACCTCACTTACACACCACCAACAGCTGGATTTGTTACAAACATTTGACTCATTGCTTGAATCAATAACATTCCATGTTGATTGAAGAGTTCGAGAAATAGAAAACCTTCTGCTTAAAAGAAGGCAAAAGTTCGGCTTGACTCTTTTTGTCCACCATATTTCCTCGGCATTTTGTAGGTAACATCTATAATTACTATAGATAACGATTGTAAACAACACTAAATTATGAATGATACTTTGGAAATATACTACTTATACGTACTACTGGTTTCGTAAAAAAAACTGATACGACTCACTTTTCACAGGTTTGAACAGTGTAAATGCAAACTTCATTGTTTTAATAATTCTAATACCGTCAAATAAAAAAAAATGTCAGCCTTAGCACACATAGGTTAGAAAATGGCCCTTATCAACGGTAGTGACATTTTAATGTAACCAGAACAACCGTTTTTTAAATTACTAAAAGGTGGAGACAAGAAGAAACGTTTGAAAAGAAAAGGGGATTTGGCAGATTAGTTAGTTAAGTTCAAGAAGATCAGGCGCTCCTTCGGATAATTGTGGATGATCGTTGCCATGTGCGACAGACGGAAGAAGTCTGTTGTTAAATTCCTTAAAAGTGTTTATTCTGCTCCTGTTTATGTTAAAATATTGGACACCTGTTCTAAATTTGTTACAATTCTTACATTTTCCTAAATTTAATTATTTTACAGTTGCTTATTTAAAAGCTAAATATATATTTTTATTTTTAAAACAAATAAACGATGACCTCTGTTTAGTTTAGACGTTTTTTAATTATAAAACTTCCGAGAACAACCAAGAATAAATAATGAAATTGAACACAATACTGAATAGTCCAATACCCATATAATATAAGAATAATATACATTTTGTGTAAGATATCTTAAACAAACAGTAAAGGCTGATTAACGCAAGACTTTCTAGTAATAAAAATAGATTTAATAATAATTTTTCAAAGAAATTTCTACAGGCTAGTGTTATACTTTTTATAAAACTTCTGGTTTTCTCCTGCGTCGGTTTTTGTTGACTCGAACTAGCTGAAGTTTCGCTAATCATCTTCAGAGCATGACTGAAGCTGGCTCGCATTTTACTCTGTACCTGCTTTTATATTGTTTGAGAGGGGCGGAGCTAAATAAGGGGCATAAACACTGTCTCGGATGACTGATTCCCATATTGGTGACAGGTAGAGACCTGAGTCACGGTTAATATTATTAGGTTACTTATAGATTTCTATAGACTCGCGGATTTTGCATGCATATGCGGCAAAGAATATATTGGAGAGACCGGATGAAAAATGTTAACTAGACTCCAAGAACGTGAAAGAGCCTTAAGACTAAGACAAATAAACTCAACAGCAGTTGCCGAACAGAATCACGAAAACGGACATAAAATTTTATTCTATAAAACTATAATTCTTGCAGGTAATCGATTCTTCCACTAACGAAAAATCCGAGAGTCTATAGAAATCTATAAGTAACCTAACAATCTTAACCGCGACCCGATCTCTAACTGTCACCAATATGGGAATCAGTCATCCGAGACGGTGTTTATGCCCCTCATTTAGCTCCGCCCCCTCAAACAATATAAACAGAGTAAAATGCGAGCCAGTTTCAGTCAAGCTCCTGAGAAGCCAACAGAATGATTGGCGAAACGTTAGCTAGTTCGAGTCAACAAAAACAGACCCAGAAGGAATCTAGAAGTTTTATAAAAAATAGATTTAATAATACATTTTATTGCAAGAGATCCACTTCTAGTTATAAAATGTAAAGCAACAGAAATACGCTCTCTTATGCCTCTGCTTTAAACACTCGAAATAGCTAAACTGAAAGATTCGATATCCACCAGGAAACATAGTCAAATCTGAAAAATATGCCTATTAATTTTTAGTACCCAAAATGTTTTGCATAAACCTGCTGTGTCCGGTCGTTTTATCTACCGCTAAAAAAATCATCCGGGTTCAAAGAAAGAAATAATAAGTTACCAAAATGACGCTAACACGCGAACACAAGGGTTAGGACCACAGAATACTAATGTGTTATTAGGGTTGTTGGGGTTTTGTGGCGACATGTCTTCCTGGAAAATAAATATTAATTATGATTGTCCTCTCGATTAAACAAAATATATCGGTTACAGGTTCTAGCGATGGAATATAATGAATATTCCTTTACAAACCTCTTAAGACATGTAAGTTAATTTAATTAATTGGTAATCATTTCACAAAGGAAAGTTTGAACATAGAAAAATATTATTGTTTGATGTAAACATATATCATTCTGACAGACATTTAAATGCAGACAAATTGTATAGACATAGGTAATGTACAGATTCGCGAGTTATTTGTTTTATAGGTATTTCCTATTTTAATATTATTGCAAGCATATACAGGGAACATGCTAGAACATAGTTGGAAGCAAATGTATACATTTGTTGATCATTCCTGGAATATGAGAATAAGAATATATCAATATGAATATTATTTTAATAGAGATTTAAGCACAATCATTACACCATTTCAGAAATGGGAGCTAAATTTTATATTTTGCTTGATATAGCGCTCGTGCTAAAATTGGACTAAACATCCAAACTCGTATAATTTGAAATTGCACAAATTAGGACAAAATGGTCATAACAAATATCTGATCAGTCATCGATAACTATGGTATTCTATACTTAAGAAAACTCCAGTTATGCAAAAAAAATCTAACTGCATAATAAAATAGTGTGTTATGCCTTCTTTAAGTAAACATCAATACAAAAGTCCTTCTTTTCAAAAACATTAATAACCTTGTAAACTGAAACGGAGTACATTATACTTTAAGATTCATCCCAATCTAACATTTTCTGAACTCCCTTCCCTAAAATACCGAATTAGACATCGATCTAGCGCTCGGAAAGTGTCATTTTACCACGTCCGATTCATTTATCACGGATCCGAGCCACTTCGGACATTCCCGGGATATTACCGCAAAGGGCTTGAATTTTGAGGTTTGTCAGTTCTGACAGTCGTGCCAGTCAATGTCTTCTTGTTATTTTGCAAAAATGTACCCAAAAACTAACGGTCGTAGAAAAAGTATAGTAAGCAACAAGTGCGATAAACGGCATTTGAATCACGAGTTAATTTGCCACGAGAGGAGCGTAGCGGAGTGAGTGTATAATAATAGAGTGATTTAAAAAGTTTACCAAACGTATATACTATTACAAAAACTTGCTTACCTTACTTACTTACTTGCAATTTATCTGCAAGATTAGTAGAGGGAACATCCACTTATCATAGATTTCATTCTTAGACCTATAATGCTAATTTGGTCGATTAGTAGCATTAATTCAAGATACAAAAATTGGACCATGCTTTTTTGCATAACGTTGGCTAATATAGTCTTTACACACTTCTTGCTACTGCGAACATCGGCCCTTTTCGAAAACCTTCAAAAAGAATTTAACTCATATAGAAATAAGTCGGGGAAACTCGAAAAAACGTACAAAAATCGGAACGATTTTCATCGGCCGAAGTACAAGCAAAACGTGTACCCTTATTAGGACAATAGTGCCTCTCTATGTCTCTCTATGATGAATAAACTGTGGATAGATCGTTTTTTGGGGATTACAGTGACACCTGCTAAGATTCTAAAAGAAAACTTCCCACAAAACCTTCAATCCGAATCTTTTGTGTAATTTTCGAAATATTCTACACTTTTTTGACGCCTGGTAAAAATTACACTGGACCCTAGAAGCCGATATACAATTTGTGTTGAATTATATTAAAAATTGTTTACTCTGCACCATCTAATCACGGATATAATATTGTATATAATATATAATATTTTGAGGCTAGTTTGAAGTTATATCACTTATATTTATTCAGGATATCTATGAAATTATTTTCGTTAGCAGCTAGTATAACGCAGTATTAAGTTTATTTTCAATTTTGAAGTCATAATTTTGTTATTATTTGCAGGATGTCGCCAACGTACGCTGTCGTGTTAGCGTTCTACTGCACCTTGTTTATAAAACTGGGCACGGGACCCTTTTGGCAGCAACGCGTGGGCCTCGAACAGGAGAGGTGCCTGGCAAGTTGGTGGGCTAACTTATTATACATCAACAATTATGTGAACACTGACAAAATTGTGAGTGTCTGGTAAAGTCTAAAAAGGGTGCAAAGAAAAAGTTTTATTTCAAATTTTTTTATTAAGTGCTTCTTTTCCTTATGATAAAAAATGCAAAATGAACTATTTGGCAATGTGCTATTCTAACAAAGGCATATCTACTTTATTAATAAAGCTAACGTGTTGCGGCTTAACTGTTTTCACGAGACACAGATGCAGTAGCTGCTAGCGCATATGCGTTGCAGGGCTGCAAGGCTCCTAAAGAATTAAGAACTCACAGAAAAAAATCATAACTAAATAGTCTAACTAAAAGATTTATAATATTTCCCATTTACATCGTCATATTAATAAAACATTGCAATGGAAATGCATCCGAACGCCTAGGTAGAATCGACCAGTGGAATAGCCAACGAATAATCGCTCTGTAGAGGTAGCCAAGTCGTTCTGTCTAAACCAAAGCCGTGATTAATTTTTTTTTAATTTAATCTAATTTTTTAATTTTAATTTTGTGATTTACTGACAATTTATATTCACTGTGAACTATGGAGGTAGTCTTTAATATAAATATGAAGGGATTTGTTGGATATTCATACATACATATACAGATATTAGATAGACATTAGACATAAGAATAAGAATAGATATTAGATATTTTTATCAATAGAGATCAGACCTAACATTGAGTCGAGTTGAATCGAAATTGCTGACGTTTCGCCAATCATCCTGTTGGCTTCTTCCAGGCTTAACTGAAACTGGCTGCAAACTACTCTGTACCCGCATATATATTGTTTGAGGAGGGCGGAGCTTAAGGAGGGGCATGAACATTGCTCGGATGACTGATTACCATATTGGTGAAAGGTAAAGACCTGAGTCGCCGTTACGATTGTGTGGTTGATTATAGATTTCTATAGATTCTCGGATTTTTGGTTGGTAGAGGACTTGATTACATGCAAGAATTTCAGCTTTATCTGCTGCTGATGCTGAATTTGTTTGTCGTAGTCGTAACGTTCTTTAATGTTCTTTGACTCTAGTTGATATTTTTCGTCCGGTCTCTCCAATGGTAAACTCAAAGGGAATTTTGTCTTGTAAATCTTGGTTTGATGTTATATTTCTTAAGAAATTTTGATATTTGAAAGGTTGTGGTGAAGTGTATTTTGTGAAGGAAAATTTTGTATCTCTAATGTGGAGTAGAGTAGAATGCGAGTCAGTTTCAGTTAAGCCCTGAGGAACCAACAGGATGATTGGCGAAACGTCATCAACCACCCAAGCAGGAGGAATCCAGAAGATTTGTAAATAGTGCACTAGCTTTGATCATTAATAAGTGATCGTTCTTTTAAATTTACTTGTTACTTTCAAAAAATGCTCCTCACTAAACTCGAGATCTCGGTAACGGTAGCTCCTAGAGGACCTCCATTGGTACAAAAATGATAAGCTTAAAAAAAATTGTCTGTCCGTTCACCGTTCTCCGTTCCAGAGTTTTTCGACGATAACTTCCGAACTGTTTGAGCTACACATTTCAAATTTCAGGCATTTTTTCGATTATATACCGGGTTTTCAAGTTATAGGCAAAAATCAAAAAGACCTAGAAAATTGTTTTTTACAGAGTAAGTTATTAGCTGCAAATCAAAAATCGTAAAAAATATGGCTAATTGGTTCAAACGGTGTCATAGGCCGCATCAAGGGCTACAATTTTTGTAATTGCGGTTTTCGTCTATCACACACACTGCTCGAGAAATTTGAAAAAATCCATATGAAAATCACTAGTCCGAGGGCTGTCAAGGGTCGATGACATCGTTATTTATAACGGCGCCCTGCATGGTTTCAAAAAAATCTTATTTTCTTGAAAACCATTTACTATTTTAGAACTATTGTTGGATTAGGAAACGTGGAAGATCCAGGGCTATAACCTTCATTTCCGGATTTTTTTTTCAAATATGTACAGGGTGTGTCGATTATGGTTAAGAGAAATCTAAAAGACCCTGAAAATTGCCATTTTCGTGGGTAATTTAATAGCCGTAATTGAAAAACTATAAAATATGGGATAATTTGGTTTAAACAGTTTCGAATATTGTGCGGAGAAAGAGAAAGAGTTTCAAGTTTCGTGTATCATACAGAGTGCGCGAGATACTTGGAATAATATAATTAAAAATCGTTATGACTTGTACAATTTTTTATATTTATCAAAGTTTGTTGTGACTTTCAACTTCAGCGATAAGTAAAAGACGTTTTATACACGGTGTATGCACAATACAATTACATCGATGTCGCGAAAGTTCCATAGTGGTGCGCACGATAGAAAAACTATGCGTCTCTTTACCACAAGAAACAGCGAAGTTCTTTCTTTTTAAAATAAAAAGCTGCTTCGCGCTAGGCGCTACCAACTTGCCCCGCCCAGTGGCAATTTTTCGAAAGCAATCTTGTTATTCCATCTCTGGCTCAGTACTGTGGACAAATTAAGTTCACAAAAAATAAATTAAAAATATGTGTGAAAAGTAAGCACTCCATAAATATGCGCATGTTATTTTGTGTTTCACAACAAGTTCGCAACATGAAAGATGATTAGCATGCAAATTTGGAAATATTGAAGTAAAGCTTTCATTTTTATATACAATTTAGTATATATAAAAAACAACTTTCCGTAATTAAAAACATGAAAATATATTTCGTTTTGTGCTTTTTTCAGTGCATGTTTCAGTCGTGGTACGTCAGCTGTGACATGAACTTTTTCCTATTTAGTCCCGTGCTGACTTGGCTGCTCTGGAAGAAACCCAAAGTCGGGTTGGGAGCGTTATTCGGTCTTATAGCTGCGTCCATCATCGTCGTATTCGCTGTGGTCTACGTGAACAATTTAGATGCCATGTTTATGTTGTACATTAAGTAAGTGTTTCGGCCGGGAGTAAGTCACCAAATAGCTCTAGTGATAATGTTAGTGAATCTTTGCACATTTTTTGAAAAAAACTTGATATATTTTACTTTCTCGACCACCAAATGTGCAGTTTTTTTATTTTGATAATTTTGAGGACGTCTTGTCAACATTTTCAATAGAGTGTTTGTGATAAGTTTATCTACGGAGGTGACTTCAATTTAAATCTAATAGAATTGGAATGTAAGTCTCTCTTGCTTTGATGCGTTTAATTTGCAACAAATAGTTAACACTCCAAATCCAACACTGATAGAAGTTGTAGTTTAATGGATTTAATTGTATTACCTAATGAAGGAACTTATACGTTTTCAATAAATACTGAAATAATTAGACAGAATGAAAAATATTTTTTAATGCGAAATCTAAAACGCATTGATAAAGACTTATTGGCGGAGTTTTTGGGAAATACACCTTTTAAAGACAGCTTTCTAATATGAAGCAGAGGGCATCGTATTATAACCATCTAATATCTTTGACGTTTTTGCTCCTTTAAAGACTTTAAAAATAGATAGACAAAAACCACCTTGCTTAACAGATACTGTGACAGTTATGATTAAACTGAGTGATAAAGCTTTTAAAAAGCACAAAAGTACAAAAAATGAGGAATAGCTACAAGCAGCTACGCAACCATACCAACATCGCAATTGAGAATGAAAAGAAAACAGTAAAATTATTTGTAAAAAGTTAAAAAATTTAAATATAACATCTAAAATTTTAAACACATTTCCTCCTTATGACTTAAATAGACGTGCAGATATAAACCAGTTTTTCTTACAGTCTTCAAAAAACAAACAACAAACTGATCTTATATTGTTACAATATTTCGAAAATGAATTAAAAATAAATGAAAATCACAAATTCTCATTCTTTTACGGTTAGTATAGATGAGGTGAAACCCCCACTTTTTACTATTCAGTCATTAGCGTCTAGTTCAGATTGAATAAATATAGAAATGTCGTTGTGTTGTTCCAAAAATTTAACATTTCTCCACTAATATAGTAAACTCATGCCTCCTAGAAGGACTGTTGAAGGGCAGATGAATGGAAAATTGCACGCATTTCTCCACTTCCCAAAAACATTAAAATGGTTAGTTTTATTGAATTGAGACCCATTAGTGTTTTACCCTGCCTACCAAAACTATTAGAAAAGAATATGAATAACCAAATACCACTTTTTTTAAAAAACAAATATCATTTTACCTCCTAACCAATCAGTCGGTCTGGATATAGTTGTGTAATGGCGGTTTTGAGTATTACAGATGACATTATAAAATCACTATATTCAGGTCAGTCATCCATTTTCTGCTTCTGGACTATTCTAATGCATTGGACACGATACGCCACGAACTACTATATGCCATTTTAAATGATGTCGGATTTTCGGATAGTGCGAACCAAAATGTAAATAAGAAGTTACCTTAGTGGTCGGATGCAATATGTAGGGAAAACTCTTGGTCAATCAGCTAGAGGAACTGTTAGTTGCGGTGTGCCGCATAGTTCTATATTGGGGCCTCTTTTATTTACAATTTACACCGGTAATTTTGTTACGGCAGGCTTTTATGCTGATCTACGTGGCAAGAATTAATTAATAAAAATTTAAACCTATTCTAGCCAAATCATCTGGAAAAAATAGAGATTATTTGATGTCTGAACTTAACATACAAATAGGTGATTTTACAGTTTACAAATTAAGTCAAAAATGTTGGTCTAAGAATTAACACAGATTTTCGTTTTAGAGAGCAAGTTGGATATTATTTACCAAGGGCATACATCTCATTTAGGTTGCTTTATTCGCATCGTCATTTATTGTCTGAAGTTCAAAAAATAAAAGTAGCAGATTCTTAAGTGGTAACTTATTTTAACTATTGTGCCAGTTTGTATGGTCCGATTAGCTAAAATCGACACAAATAGAATTGAGGGACTACAAAAAAACTGTCTACAGTTTATTTATGGTATAAGCAGAACTACAGGATGTCAAATGAACAGGCAAATAAAATAACTTATATGACAGGTGTTCGCAGTTTAAACCTTAGCACAGAACGTCTCTCTTTCAAAGAAGCTCTTCCTACAAATATTTATAAACTTTATAATACAATTTCTCTTTATTTAAAGCACAACACAAGCAACAAGGACAATGCAAATAATTTTCGAGTTTAGTTTCAAGATGTTTATTTTTGATTTTTTTTTATATTATATACCATAACCATAGTATGTTTCTATAATTGTGTATTACTCAAGTGAATTCATAATAGTAATTGTTGTTTTATTTTATTGGGGTGGAACTTTTAAATTTGAATTTAATTTTTTAATTGCTTTCATCTCTTTTTCTGCAATTTGTTTATTTATAATATCTTATTGTATTGTATATTGAATACACCAGAATAAATGTATTATTGTCATTAATATTATTCTTATTAATATAATTGTTATTATTGTTTGCAGAGTATTGAAAGATCCTGTGTCGCATAATTCGTTTCGAACAATGTACATCCCGGGGCACATGCGGGCCAGTTCGTATTTTGTAGGAACTCTGGCCGGTTACGTTAAGTTCCAAATGGAGGAGAAAAATTCCAAAATTCCAAGACATGTGCTTAACATAGGTTCGTAATTGACGTATTAAACTTTAATAATTAAAGGATACATATTATAAAGCATAAAACACTCGATTTATTGAACCTTTCGAGACATTGGAGAAACCAAGAACTACGATTTTAATGTTTGGAACTGATAAGATTCCTTAACTTCAAAATGAAATGGTTGAAGTATGTCAATTTTTTGTTATTTTATTAGTTTTTATTAATACTTTACTATTTTTGTTTGTATTTATCATTATTATTTATTATTTTTATGAAAACAACATAAAAAAAACTAGCAATTCTATATCGCAAAAATGAGGATTTTCCAAAGCCAACCTAAGTTTCCAAAGTAAAAGGAAAGAATGTCCAAATTTACTATCTAACAGCTATCATAGTTGTATTGGATTTTTGTTCGATATTGATTTTAGACCCAAAAGTATTCTACGAGTAATAGTACCAAAAATCGTATCTTCGTATATCGTATGTAATAATTATTTTTTCTTGTTTTTCATAATATTTCTGAGCGTTCTGAGAGTTTCAGAGCATGCAGATTCCTAAATTTTGTCTCGGTTACTGGGATTAGACCTGAAAGCGTGTCTTGTGAGTAAAGGCCTTAAAAAAAATCTTACCTCTCAATTCTTACCGGGATCAATTCTTGTGTGTTTTGGTGGTAGTACTGAGCTTTGGTCCCAACACCCATTATAGGAACATCTATGCAAAACAAGTCGGGGGTGCCCAATAATGGCTTTCATTTGCCTCAAGGGCGTATTGCGAATAGACATTTAGTCCTATAATTCAGCTTCACAAAAAAAACCTCCCAGTTTCTTATAATTTGATGGCCGTCTTCCAAATTTTCGGCATAAAACGGTACTTGCCTAACTCTACTTTACTTAACAGCGACTATTTCTGCATACACGTAAAAGATTGACTCGCCCTTGATTAAAATGTATATATTAAGTACACAGATAACTGTCTATTATAGTATACATCATTCGTTGTGATCTCTGGAACTGGCTGATTGGTTTGGAAAACGAGGTAGACAGCTTCGCATTCTGTATCTCCCAGGCACTGAATTCTTGAAACTGTTTTTCGTTCAGGCGTTCATTTTGTGGCGCTTATTTCTAATCTCCAGTGTTAGCAAAGGAATATCGGCAAGAAGTGATGTAGAAGTCGGAATTTTATTTATTTTAGATCTTTTTTTGTTGCATTATATTGATCTCAAGCACTTCTTTGCGAGGATACCCGAAGAATTTAGTGAATTTTGTATTAAAAATATTTCTATAGAACTGGTATGAAACACGATGATTAAGAAATTTTGGCTTGATATAGTTTATACATTTTTGCAATTGCCCTTCACGTAAATAAAGACTATCTGATTTTTTGAGGTCATAATGACTTTTGTTTTCTTGAAACGGACCAATATGACTAATAACATTTTCATTGTCTGATCAGAAATTTTTCTAGGGTGATATAAAATCTTACCTCTTAAATCGACACCCTGTTCTTATGGATTTTTGCAACTATTCTTATTTTGTTTTGCCACAAATGCCTTGTAGCACACATCAACCTTACTTGAAGTACATGATTAACACATGCTCTCTCTGGTATATTGAAAATATATTATTACATCTAACTTTAATTCGTTTACGAAATAAGTTTTACCATACGATTTGATATGCAAAAGTTCAACTAGTTGCTGTTTTGCATAAGTATATTTATAATAAAGCTCAAACTGACTAAGAAACTCTTGCGTTTGATCGTTGATTTTTTTTTTTGATAAAAAGTTATAAAGTTTACTAGTTATGTCCCGATGAGAGTCTAATCAGCAGTCTTTAATGTTTTGTGCTGCAAATAGCCAAGCGTTGAGCACCCAACCTTCTCTCGGGCCACATTGTACAGGAGTGAAGTGGAATCTTTTAAAAGGAAAAATCTATTTCTGAACTGGAGAGGGCAAAATCGACTTGCATGTCATTGATTTTTAAGAAACTTTTAATGGTTAAAACCGGAACGCGATATCTTCACTACCAACCACTACCAGTTTTCTGTCCGCTTTGAAATTGCCCATAACTTTTTTATTTACGATAATTTTGGATTCGGATAAAAATATTATTAGGGAACCTTTTTATTCAAATGCGCTAGCGTACTCATTTTTTCTTAAGTTCTCCGTTTTTCATAAATAAATACATTTCTTCTTTCAGCCATATAGATTTGTTGGTATCTGTGATAGAAAACGGCGGAAATAAAGGGTACTTTTTGTTTATGTATAAGTAGGCCGTGATAATATGTTAAAAAAGACTTCACATAGAAACCTTTAAAATAATTTATTAAACATTGGAACCTTAAAAAAAACACAAAATCTGAGAACAATTTAATAATTTAATATTAATTTAGGATATTATTTTTAATATTTGATTTTAATATTTATCACTTTAAACCAATAGACGATGGAAAATTAATGTTCTCATTGCATTTTCCGATAAACTAGTTGCCAAAGTATATTCTTTTACCGGCATTCGACAGGGCTTGAATTAATGTTTTTTTGAAGTAGTTAAAACTGTAGTTTTTCCATCATTTTTTCCATTTTGTTGCCTTAGCTAATGCCAGATAGGATATGCTTTCAATTCTTCCTTAATTAGATTAAATTTTCGCATTTTCTGTCCTTCAGTTCAGTGATTTTTATTTTGACCTGACTTTTTGAAACTTCCGTTACTGGTGAAATTATTTTTCAACGTCGGAAATGTCGCTTCAATCCTATCATACTTTTCATAATGAACTAAGCTTAAGTTTGGCAATCAGCATAACAGAACACAAAATTCCATAAAAAGTATATGTTGTTTTTAACTGACATTCACAGCTATATGCACATCTTATTAATACAAAAACAAAAAATTCCCTACATTTCAGCCTTTTTGATCACAGATACCAGCAAATCTATGTAGCTGAAAGGGGCTCGACGCGGGCATTTTTTCAAAGATCATAGTCATCCATGATTGTTGTATAACAATAGAATTGTATTCATTTATAACCAAAAGGAGAACAGTAGAAAAAAATCTTAATATGTCACTGCAATTGCCTTCAAAAATGCCTTAATAATGTTTTTATTAGTTAGTCATTTTCAAACGAGTCGAACATTGAAAAACGCCCTATATCTCGATTTGTAGTGAAGATATGGCAATCAGGTTTTAACCATTAAGTGTTTCCCAACATGTAAGTCGATTTTGGTTCAGAAAAAGTTTTTTCTTGTTACAATACACCAATTACGACCACCCTCTACATTGCATATTCTTTTTCCTTTATGTGCTGGGACATTCAAAACGCAGTTCGATGAAGAATTTTGCCACTCCTTTCCTTATAGTCCCGTTAAATAATACATATTTCGCTCTTCTACACGAAATCGATAAACTCGTGGAGAAAAATATTCCATTAAGAAATGAAAAGTTTCAGGAAACCTATAGAAATGATTTTTAAAAATTTAAATATTTACTCACAACATGTGCAAGTGTCAGACAATAAAGATACAAATGGAAATTTATATAAAAACGTTTCTCTTTCGATTATTCTGAAATTAATACAACCTATAAGATAAACAGTGAACTACGTATTATCGACGATATTTCTAGTACTCAACAAAAATAAGACGCAATTTTTAATTTGCTGCAAAGAAAGAGCTAAAATAATTGGTCAAAATAACGGTCAAATTAATTTAAATGGTTTAAGTTTACACCAGGTTTCCATACCATCTTCTTTAATACAAACTGACACACTTACTTTACAAATATGTGTTAAACACAGCTATCAACTTAAAATTGACTGATTTTCTAATGCTGTCTAATAGCTAATATGTAAGTTAACTGGCCTACCTTACTTCAGAAAGATACATACCGCGTTCAGTGTCTTCAGAGCCTGACTCAAATTTCCTTATAGTGTTCGTAAGTTTGATCATATAAGTTCAACATATTTATTTGAGAAACTTATTACTCCTGGCTCGGATATTCATTCAGTTAATACACAAGATAAGGAACTGTTTGCTGTTCCCAAGCATAATTCAGCCCAATTTAAAAGCTGCCTTGGCCATAACGCTAGCAAAGCTTACAATAAATTTCCTTTCCAATGATAACACAATTAGCGACTTTTAAGCAAGAACTTAGGCAACATATTGCCCTCTACCGAGTCCCGACATCTATCTTAATTGTGTTTTCTTTCTATTTAGAATTTTTTGTGGATTTTGTATGTTATCGAATAAAGACTGTTTATTATTATTATTATCTTAATATTTCTAAGGCTGTACTGTACTATACTGATAAACGCTTGCAATTCGGTTTTTATTGATTTATTTGGTGTAAAGAACCTTTTATGATACATCATCACCATACCACGCATATCAAATACGGTTAAAACCACTCATTTTAACTCTCCCTCATTAAGAAGCAAAGCTTTGTAGGAGTGGGCAGTACATGCATCTGAATACTTTTTCCTTAGTGAATATTATACAAAACTACGGGGATCCTATGGAAAATTGGCATCAAACGATAACATCGGATAATTTCGCTATTCTGACAGGTGGTTTGCAATATATAATAAATTGACTTATTTTGCTTAGAAGTAATCGAAATTGATTGTGAGAACAAACCTTATGCCCCATGAATGTGGATTTTAATTATTTGATTTGAAACTATGTTCATCAATCATCAAGCATCAAAATACAGCTGCACTATGTATTTAATTGATTTAAATAAAAACAAAATTTTATCAGAGATATCAGGGGCCCAAAGGTATGGAAATAGAATGGAATATTACGAGAATTGCACAAGTAATACAAATATATATATATATATATATATATATATATATATATATATATATATATATATATATATATATATATATATATATATATATATATTAATAACATATTATGAATCCGTCTTCAGTGTTGTGATACCTTTTTACGTATTTTTTTTACTCCCTGCTCTAAAATACCCAGTTATAAGGACGTGTAACTTTAAAACAGCCATCGATTTTATTTTTACCAATAAAACTACCGATCAAATGACAATTTTTAAAAGTGTTTTAATAAGGGCCAATGATTTAGCTAAAATATTAAATATTGGTTTCCAACTTAAAATAGACACAGACAAACAAAGCAAGAGATTTTAATAGTGGTTGTTGGTTATTATATTATATTATTATATTGGTTACCAGGGATAGTCCTTTAGTGCAATATTTCTATCATCTATTAAAATAAGCAAAACTATTTAATTCATTCTGTTATTTGTATTGCTTATCTTGTTTTATGAATTCTTTTCTAATGCTTATTAGAAGGGCGTGAATTATTACTCTCCATTGAGTCAATGGCACCGCGTTACTAATTTTTAAATGATTAGTGCATCACTACTGCTTTAGTACTGTCGAGTAGAAACGACATGTTAAAACGAAAGAATCAACGTCCTATTCATGACATTTACTCTCGTATTTCTGGACAAATATGATTAATCTCCTTTTGGCGACTACTACACCATCTTACCGATAATCCAAAAAAAAATTCGGACAAAACCTTTGTGGCATAGAATCCGAGAATAAGTAATCAAAAAATGGGCGTGGTTCTCTAGATATTCCAGGGTTGAAATGATACCACATTGTAATTGTGTTTCTCTTTAATTAAGGTTGGATTTTATGCGCTCCGATCATGATCGCGTCCCTGTACATAGGTTTCGTCTTTTACCTCTTGGAAATTCCTCCGCTTTGGACTGCCCTTTATGCTTCACTGTATCACTTCGTGTGGAGTGTCTGCGTGGCGTGGATGATCATTACCATATCCAGAGGATATGGACGTAAGTAAAAAATGATTCAATGATTCAACCGTGACATTATATTACATTACAAATGAGAATTTATCTTCACTTTGTTTTGCTTCGTAGCTTGGATTGATCCAATACTCAGGTGGAAACCGCTCGTTATACTGTCTAGATTGACGTACTGCGTGTACATAAGTCACGGCGTCATACAAATCTACACGGCAGCTAGCATAAGGACACCGATACACGCCAGCGTATTTAATGTGGCAAGTTGCATAATATTTGTTTGTTTAGTAGTAAGGGATCACCTTGCAACAATACATTTTACCTAAATCTCACAACAAAAAGCAGATTACAGTCGCATTTTAGTGGCCAAATACGTAACTGTAAAACAATATCTTTGGCCCGTATACAATATGTGGTTTGAGATGCATGTACAAGGTGTGTTCAAAAAGTAAGGTGACTTTTGTAATTGGGCCGGCTACGTACATTCGATGTTCGATTTTTTTTTGTTATGTTGGTACAGGGTGGCCCGTTTGTCTCAAAACCTACGGGATTACAAAAAACATTTAATTACAAAATTTGTTTCTATTAGAATAACCCTTGTTTTTTTTATTTTTGTAATTGTCACTTGTTTATATACAGGGTGGTAAAACAAAGTTGCATTATATTCCTTTCAAAGACAAATTCAACGATATATATGAGTATGGGTCTGTGATGCGCCGTTCCGAACTTATTGGCGATCATCTTCAGAATTCGGATTATGTTTAAACCATCATCGTTAGGTTGCTTATTAACCTTTTGAACCTCTTTTCATGTATTATTTTTACGAAAATAACGCTTTTCTCTAGACAAATTTAAAATACTTTCTTGAAATACGCGGTGTTGCCACGTTTCGCAAAGTAATACTTTACTCAATTTTCTTAAATAAGAAACCCTGTATTTTCATATATTCGTATATTCGGCATAAGGTATAGGACCCTCTTAAACGGCCCACCTTGTACATATATCCTTTACATATGTTCACAGTTTCATTCAGTTTGTTTACTTTTTTTTGTGAGACAGAAGCGTTAGACGTGTTTTCCGTGCTCGGCGACTTTCTGTTGTCAAAAAAAATGGAACAAAGAATTTGCATAAAATTTTGTGTAATAAATTGAAGGCAGTGCTACAAAACACTTGAAATGTAGACAACGGCATATGGTGAATTTATTTTAAGCAAAAAAAATGTTTATAAGTGAGTTAAGGTTTTCTAACGAAGGATCTCGTTTTTAAAAACACTTTTTATTTTACAAACAGAACTACGAGGTTTTCTTTAACCCGCTACAAGGAGAACTGGACGCAAAGCACAGAGTTGTTATATATATAAAGTTTTTATGCAAGCGTCGCGTCGCAGATACCGGGAATACTGAAGCTAGCATTTCATCAGCATATTCTATCACATAATTCCTCCCTCCGAAGTGGAAAACAACAGGGACGAAGGGTTGTTTTCGGAAGACTGGTCGTTCTTGGTTTTCTTGGAATCTTGCAGCAAATGGCTCTTGTAGATTTTCCATGCTATAACTATTAACAAGATTAAAATAAACATCATTCCTGTTGAAGTGGCGAGACTCCAAGTGACTGGATGAATTTCATAACCAATGTCGGGGATCGATGATTTCGCAGCTTCTCGTAGTTTTTTGATCGTATTGAGATCAATCGATTGTAGTTGGAGTGGCTGGTACTTCACATCGTGATGTTCCATATTTTCAATTTTAATGGGTGGCAGTGAGAATGGGTTTGCTTTAAAAATTTCTTCTTTATTCCAAAGCTCGGTATTTTGGGTACTTATACCACAATTATATGGAACATTGATTAGGCAGGCTTCTTCAATAAAAGCTATTTCTTTGTTTTGACAATTCATTTGTAATTTAAGTTTCTGTTCCGATGGTATTATCAAAACAAATCTACTAGTGATTGGTCGTATTATATGCGTTGAAACATTTACATTGACTACGTGGCAATTTTTGTTTTCGGCATATTTAATGAGGGTTGTCACACAATTACCGATGGGCTGGGTAAGTTGATTTTCGCAAACGTAGGTGTCTTCAATGATTGGGCAGATTGATTCTTGATATTTTTGCATGTCAGTGCCCAATATTAGGTAGGGTGAATTAGGTATAATTAAGGAGTGATTCACAGGTACTGGGAACAGGTGGAATATTTCAAAAATATCTTTAAGAAAAATCGGAATATGGACGGCAAAAATTATTTTATCTTTTGTAAATTTAACTTGTAAGTTTGCTAACTGATAATAATTATTTTGATTTTCAAAAATTAGAATTTGATCATCACCATAGAGAACAGTCAATTTAAAAATTATTTGTTCTAATTCAGCCGCCGATATTACTACAGGATGTAATGTGTTTAATTTCCCAAATGTAATGGCATTTTCTAAATTATCCAAAAAAGTTATAAAACTTTGGCAATTTAGAATTATTTGCATTAGTGTATTTTGAGCTTTAATGAAAGTAGTTATGTCAGTAATAGTTTTATTTGAATTATATTCAAAAATGTCTATATGTTTTTTAATAGCTTCTTGATTTTTCTGTAGAAGTGTTATAGTATCATTATAGTTGTCAATCAGCTGTTGAATCAACGAGGTTTGCTTTTTTAGTTGGATGTTAGATGAATGTTTACTACGCACAAGTTCTGTGATAATTTTATCGTATTTTTGTCCATCCTCTGAATCGAGAGTGCCAAAAAGCCATTTCGATAATTTACCTACAACATTTATTAAACCTCTTTTTGTACGGTTATTAGGTTTTATGTTACCAAGTTTAAATTTTACTTGAGTAATTAAATATCGAACATTATTAAGTAAATTATTTCCATTAATATAGTGTACATTCTGATAATTATGTTTATTTGTATAGTTTAATGATTTTGAGATTACAGCGTAAGCGTATTCTAAATTACGTAATTGATTAAAAAGTTGAGATGTTTCTACAAAATGCAAAAATGTATGTTGATGTTGAATTATTCGAGCATTTCCTAAGCGGAAGGGGAGAAGTGGTGTTTTAATTGGGATAACTTCAATATCATTATTCGCTATCACTAATAACAGCGTAGCTGCAAGAAGGAACAGCGTTGTCCGGTTCATTAACCTGCGAAGAAGAAAAAGCTTTAGGTTTTTGGATCTGAGATTTATGAATTATTTTTTTATTTTTTGTAATAATTTTATTCCCAATATCTTGATCTATAATAACAGGTTTTCTTCGGGGTTTGTCCTTACTACGTTTTGCAGTTTTGTCAGTAACGTAAACCTTTGTATTTTGTTTCATTTCAGGTGGATTTTCTCGTTTTTCGTTTTGTTTTTCATTTAAACGTATTTTTGTTTCTAACGATGTTTCGTAAATTTGTTGATAGATAGTTTTTAGTCTTTCACATCTATCTGTGATATAATTATTTACAATGATTTCATCCGTTAAATCAAAGGGATCTAAACCGTTTACTTTTCCATTAATAACGTCAAAAGGTTTTTGTTTTGTGACGCTATGCATTGATGAATTATAACCTATAATGGCGTATTTTATTAAATTTTTAGGGGCTTCTTTAGGTTCTTTTAATTTTAGTACCCTATATAGTTCAACAAGAGTAGAGTGAAATCTCTCTATTGGACTATTACTATTAGAATTGCCGGGAGTTGTAAAATGAATTGCAATTTTATGCAATTTACAGAAATCTAAAAGCAAAGACGTTTTAAATTCCGTACCATTATCACACGTTATTTGTTGAGGTAGGCCGTGATGACTTATAAAGGTCGCTAAACCGTCTAAGATAGCAATTGCTGTGCAAGCGGGTTCTAACGGATAAGCTTGGGCGTACCGTGAAAATACATCTATAATTGTAAGAAATTTTACGTTACATATTTGAAAAGTATCCATATGGATGGATTCTAATGGTTCAAAAGGGGTCGGTGTCAACATAAACTTTAATTTTGGTGGATGTCGATCATATTTTGTTTGTTGGCACGTGTCACAATTATTAATATATTCAGTTAGATCAGTTTTCATATTTGGCCAATAATAGAGCCTTTTTAATGCTATTAGGCTTTCATTAATTCCTCGATGACAGGTTTTTTCATGATGATATGCAATTAGGTCTTTTTGTTTTGTCCTGTCAGTGACGTCAGTTAAAAGAGTTTTCGATATTACCAACTTGTAAGCACGGTTTTTAAATGTATTTGGTAACAAAACAGATAGTTCTCGATTTAAATCTATTTCGGTGTTTTGTACATAAAGGCAGTACATTTTTGTTGGATCCAAATAATCTAAAAAGAATTTAATTATTTCATTTTGATAGTTTTGACTTAAATAAACAGAAAATCTAGATTTATTTTGGAATGGGTAACTCCTAATCACGTGATAACGACCGTTTGTTTTTTGGTTAAATATTATTTGATTAGAGTAAGTATTTAAAATATTTTCGGTAATTGGTATATTTAATATTGGATCTTCAGCTGCTGAGTGTACTGTCTCACCAGTATTAGGAATATTTGGCGGTTTAATTTGAATGTCCGAGATGATATTAATTTTTGGAGTGTTTACATTTTCTAGAGGGTTAAACACGTCTTCAATTTGTTCCAATTGTTCAAGGCTTATATTTTGATCTTCTTCATGTATGTATTTATCGATATCTTCATTAATATCTCCAGGATTTCCGAAAAGTGACTCTTTATCTATCATATTTAGTTCGATGCGTGATAGGGCATCAGCGTTAGTGTTCAGTTTGCCCTTCTTATAATGAACTGTGTAATCAAACTCTTCCAGTTTTAGTCGCCATCTTAGCAATCTGGAATTTGGTTCTTTCATATTAAACAGGTATTGTAGAGGTTTGTGATCGGTAACTATCACAAATTTTCGGCCAAATAAATATGGTCGGAAATATTTTGTTGACCACACGATTGCTAATAATTCTTTCTCTATGGTTGAGTAATTGCTTTCAGCCGGGTTCAATGTCCTAGAGGCAAAGGCTATGGGAAGATCACTACCAATTTTTCCTTGGCTGAGAACCGCTCCTATAGAAACATTAGAGGCGTCCGTTGTCAATATAAAAGGTTTTTCGAAATCTGGATATTGTAGTATTGGATCATTGCACAAGATATTTTTACAAAGATCGAATGCTTCTAGAAATTCTGGCGTGTGTTTGATGGTCGCTCCTTTCTTTAGGCAATTTGTGAATGGCTTGGTGAGTTTTGCAAATCCGTTAATAAATCTTCTATAGTATC